TTCGCTCCCCGTTCCCGCCGCTGCCCTCGGCCTCCCCCTTCTGCCGCTTTCCTCCGCTCCCGGCCGGGTCCTTTTCGGCTCGTCGCCTGGTCGCCCTGCCTCCCGCGGTTTTCCGTGTGCGTCGGTGCGCTTCGGCGTTTTCCCTTTCCTTTCCGCTCCGTTTGCCTTTGGTCCCCTTTGCGTCCCCGCGCTCGCTGCGCCTTCGTCCGCGTGGTTCGCTCCGGCCTGTCGCGTTTGGTCTCGCTTGCCCTTCTTTTGTGTCTGGCGGTTTTCGCTCTCTTCCGCGCCCTTTTGTGGGTTTTTGCCTTCCCCGGCTTTTGGCCGTGGGCCCCCTTTTTCTCGCCCTGCCCTCTGCTGGCCTTTGCCTGCGCGTTGCGTCTGGCCTCTCGCCTTTGGTCTGGTTGCCTCTCTCGTTTGCGTGCCCGGGGTTCCGCCCGCGTCGGCGCCCCCCGTCGGCGTTTTCCGTTTTGGCCCTTGCCGCTTTCTGCCCTCCTTGCCGCCCCTCCGCCCCTTTCCCCCCTTCCCCCCTCCTCTCTCTCTCCTCTCTCCCCGCTTTGGGTGCTCCCCCCGGCTCCGTTGTGCGCTTTTTCGCGGCCCCGTGTTGGTGCGCTCGGCTCGTGCTTTGGCGTCCCCGTTTGCGGTCCTTTCGCCCCCCCTGCTGCCCCCCCTTTTTGTGCGCTTGCTTTTGGCCCTTTTTCGCCTTGTTTTCTTCGCCCTTTTCGCTCCGCTTTTGGTGCTTTTTGCGGCTCTCTTGCGTGGTTTTTCGCGGCGCCCCTTGTGGTGTTGTTCGCTTTTCCTGTCGCTCGCCCGTTTTTGGTCCCCCGCTGCCTTCGCTGCTGTCCCCTTTCTCCTTTTTTGCGCCCCTTGGGTTTTCGTTGCTTGTTGCTCTTGTGTTGTTCCCGCGCCCCGCCTTGTGTCCCCTTTTGGGCCCTGCGCTGGGGGCCCTGGTTCGGCCCCCTTTTGGGGTTCCTTTCGCCTTTCCTGCGCGGGTCCCCCGCTTCCGTTTTGCCTCCCCCCTTGCCCCGTCTCCGTTTGTTGTGCTTTTGGTGTCTCCCCGCCCGTCTTCCCGTTGTGCTCCTCTTTTTGCTCGCGGGGCCGCGTTTCGCGGCCGTTCGCCGGGCCCGCTCCGCCCGTGCTTTTGGCGCGCGTGTGCTCGGCCTCCCGGTCGGCTCCGGTTTTCCCTCTCTTCGCTTGCGCTCGCGCCTGTGCCTGCCTGTTGCTTCGTTGGGCTTTGGGTTGGGTCGTTCTTGCCTCTTGCCTCGGTGTTCCGCCCTCCTGTTTTCGGCCTCTTTCGGGCCTTCTCGGGTCCCTGTGCGCCTGCTTTGTGTTCTTCCCGGCCCTCCTCGCTCTGTGGCGTGCTTGCCTGCTTCCTTCTTGTTTCTTTGCCGCCTGTTGGGCCTTCGTTTCGGTTTGCCTCGGGCTTGCCTTCGCCCTCCCTTCTTCGGCTCCCCTCGGCCTTCGTTTTGCCCCGCCGTCGCTCGGCCGGCTTCGCTCCCTGTCGCCTGGTTCGCCGCCTTGCGTCTGCTCGTTTGGGCCTTCGTTCGGCCTCCGCTTGCTCCGCCTTTCGTTCTCCTTCTTTTCCCCGCTGTTCCGGCTTCCCGCGTTCCCTCGGCGCCCCTCGTTCTCCTTCGCGTTTGCCTTTGCTTTTCGCTTTGGTTCCCCGGCCTTCCCTTGCTTGGCTCGTGTGGCCGGGTTCCCTGGCCCTTTCTGCGTTGGCTCGCTTGCGCCTCTTTCCGCCGCTCCCTTGGCCCCTTTCTCGCGCCTCCGGTTTCCGGTCCGGCCTCTCTTGCCCCGCTCCTTCTCTCGCGCCTCCGGTTTCCGGTCCGGCCTCTCTTTCCCGCTCCTTCTCTCGCGCCTCCGGTTCGCGTTCCGGCCTCCTCTCCTTGCTCTTTGTGCTTGCTTCCTTGGCTCTTTCTTGTGCGCCTCCGGTTCGCGGTCCGGCCTCCGTCCTGTCCGCTTCTCCTCCTTCGGGTTGCGGTTCTGGTTTGCTGTTCTTCGTTCTTGGGTTCTTTTCTGCCCTTCTCTTTCGTTCTCGTTCTTCTGTGTCCTCGTCGGGCTTCTGGGGGTCCGTTCGGGTTTTTCTTTCCTTTGCGCCCGCGTGTCCCTTCTGGGCTTCTGGGGGTCCCGTTCGGTGTCGTTCGCTTCTCGCTTCCTTTCGTTCGTTCTTTCTCCCCTCGTGTGCCTTCCCTTGTTCCTTCGCTTTCCGCTCTTGCCCTCGGTTTGTTTCTTCCTTCTTTTCCTCTTGCCTTTCCTTTTCCCGTTCCGTCGGCCTCTGCTGCCTCCTGGGTCCCTGTTGTTTTGGTCCTCCTGCTCCGCTCTGCCTCTCTTTCGTGCTGCCGGTCCGGCCCTCGTCGCCCGCGTTGCTCGCGCTTGGCGCCGCCTGCTTCGGCGCCGGGCGTGCGCCCCCCCGTTTTGTCCTCTTTCCGTCTCCCTCTGTCTCTCTCGCCTTGTCTTTTCCCTTTCGCGCCCGTCCCGTCTCTGTTGTCTCCTTTTGGGCCTTGTCCTCCTTTTGTTCGTCGCTCTGTCCTCGTGCCTTCCCGGTTCTGGGCGGGCTCTTTCTTTGTCTCTCTGTTTTTGGTTTGCTTCCGCCTGTTTCTCTTGTTCTTTGCCTCCTCTTGTTTCGTTTCTCCCCTCCGCCCCCTTCCTTGTTGTTCCGGGTTCCGGGTTGGCTTCCCTCCTGGTGGGTTCTCGTCGGTGCCCTCCTGCCTTGCGCCCTCGGGTCGTGCCCCGTTGGTCTCCGCGCCCCCGGTTTCTCGGTCTCCCTTGTCCCGCGCTCCCGTCTCGTCGCGTCCTGCGGCTCGGTGCGGCGCCGTCCGTCCTTCTCTTCGGGCGGCTCCCGGCTGTCCTTCGGCCCCTTTCCTCTTTTGTTTCGCTTTCGTGCCTCGTGTGTCTTCTTGGTTTCTGGCCCTCTCCCTTGTTTCCCTCTTTCGCCGGCTGGCTCGCTCGCGCGGTGGCCGGCCCGGGGTGGCGCCCCCGGGTCTGTCGGCCGCGCCTCCGTTTGGGGTCGCCGCTGCCCCGCGGTCGCGGCCGGGCCGTCGCCCCCGCCCGCGCTCGGGCGGCGGCGCCTCCGGCCGCCTCTGTCCCTCCCCGCCGGTGGGCCGGGGCCCGCCCCGCCCCCCCTGCCCCCGCTGCCGCTGCCGCTCCTGCTCTTCCTGCTCTCCTGCCTCCGCTCCTCGCCGCTCTTGGGGCGCTGCGCCCGGCCCCCGCCCCCGCCGCCCCCGCCCCCGCTCCCGCGCCGCCGGGTCCGCCTGCCGCCGCGGCCCCCGCGGTTCCGCCGCCCCCCGTTCCTGTGCGGTCGTGTCCGCCTTCCCGGCCGGGGCGCTGCCCCTGCGCCGCCGCCGCTGCTCGGGGTCTTCCCGCGGTTGGCCCCGCCGCTTTCTCCGGGGCGCTGGGGGCGGCTGCCTCCGCGTTCCCGCTCCCTTGTCCGGCGCCGCTCCCGTCCTTCGGCCTCTTGGCGTCGCGCGGCGCCGCCTTCCCTGCTCCTCCGTTTCGTGGGCCCGCCCGGCCGTGGTGGCGCTCGTCTCGCGCGTCCCGGCCCGTTGGCTCGCCTCCTGTCTCTTGGCGTGCGTTCTCCGCGGCTTTCTTCGCTCGGTTCCTGCCCCGGCGCGTCCGGGCTCGGCTTCGTGCTCCGTTCTCCCGCTTGGCGCCGGGCCCTCTGCCCGTCTCCCGTCCGCGCCGCGCTTCCCTGCGTTGTCTCGCCCTGCTCCCCTGCTCCTCCCCCGGCGGCGGCGCGCGTTCGTTGTTTTGTCCGTGGGTTGCGGTCCCGTCTGCGGGTCGCCCCCGCGCCTTTCGTTTCTGCCGGCCGTTCCTTTCTTGCTGTCGTTGCCCCTGCCCGCTCCCTGGCGCCTCTTCCTCGCGCGGCCCCCGGGGGCCGCGCTCCGCGGGCCCGCTCCCCGGGCCGCTCCCGCGGGTCCCCGCCTCGCGGGCGCGCCTCCTCTGCTCGGCCCCGCCGCGGTTCCCGCCGGGTCCGTCCCGTCGTCCTGTTCCGGCGGCCTTCCCTGCTTCTGCGGGCGGCCCGTCTCCCCCGGGTGGTCCTCGTCCGGCCCGCGTTCGCGGGGCTCCGCTTCCCTCCCTTCCTCCCGCCGTCGGGTTCCTTCCGGGCGTTCCGCTTCCGGGTGTTTTGCTTGCGGTGCTCCTTCCCCTTGGTCCCGCGCGTGCCCCCGGCGCGGGCGCGGCGCGCTTGTCCCCGCTCCCCTTGCCCCTCGCCCCGTTTCCGCCGTGCCCCCTCTCGCTCGCGGTGGTGGTCCGGCCCCGGGTCGTCGGGCCCGCCGCCCGGGTCCCCGCGGCGGCGCTCGCGGCGGCCGGCTCGGTGGTCGCTCCGCTGCCTCGGGCCGCGGTGCTCCGGGCCCTTTCTCCGCCGCCCCGGCGCGGGCCCGGCTGCGGCCTCTGCCGCTGTTCTCCCCGGTCCGCTTTTCTTCTGCCCTCCGCCTGCTCCCTCTTCTTTGCTCCCGGGTCCCCTTCTCGTCTGTCTCTGTTTCTTTTGCTCCTCGCTTGGGTCTGCGGTCTGCGTCTTTGGCCGCGCCCGTTCCTGTTTCGCCCCGGTGGGTGCGTCCTTCGTCGTGGCTCCGCTCTTGCGTCTTGCTTCGTGCCTCTCCCGGGTTGTGCTCCTCCGTTGCTCTTCTTCTGCTCGCTCTGGTTGCTTTTGCTGTGCTTTTGGGCCTGGCCTGGTTCTCCCCTCCCCTGCGGTCTTGGCTTGCTCCGCCCCGCCTGTTCCTTCGCCCTGCCTGGCCTTTCCCCCGTGTTGTGGCCGGGTGCTTCTCGTCCCCCCCGCCCGGGCTCCTCTCTTTTCTGCGGGCTCGCCGGTTGGTTGCTTCTGGGTGTTTCGCTTCTTTGGCTTCTGTGCGCGCTGTGCGTCGGGCGGGCTCTTCCGTTGCCTCCGTTCCTGTGGTTCGCGCGTTTGCCGCTGTGTTCCCTCCCGCCCTCCCTGGCCTCCCTCCCGCTCGTGCCCTTGCTTTTGCCCTCGCTTTGGCGCCCGCCCCCCGTCCTCTTTCTCTTCCGCCTTCCCGGCTGGCTCCTGCCGCGCTTCGGGCGCTCCGTGTCCGTTCGCGGCTCTCTTCGGTCCGGGGTTTCTCCGTCGCGTGTGTCGCCTTGGGGTGCTCCTGTTCTGTTTGTGCCGCCGCCGGCCGGGCCTCTGCGGCTGTGTCTTGCCTCCCGGCCGCTGCCCCCGGTGCCGGTGCCGCCCCGTTCCCCCTGCCTCGTCTTGCTGCTTTGTTTGCTCCGCTTCCGGGTGCGCCGTGTTTTCTCCGCTTGCTTGCGGTCCGGGTCCCCTCCGCTGCGGCTTCGGGCCGCCGCCCTCCCTCCGCCTGCCTTTCGGCCCCGTTCTGGCCCTTCTGCGTTCTTGGTGCTGTCGTTTGGGTTGCCTCCTGCCCCTGCTGCCTTCCTGGCCTTGCTGCCCCGTGTGTTCCGGCCCTCCCTTGCTTTCTTTGTCCTCGTCTTCCTTGCTGCCCTCCTGGTCTCCTCGCGGCGCCGGCGTGCGCCTGCGCCGCCTTTGCGGCTCGTGCTCCCGCCTTTGCGCGCTCCGCGGCTTTCTGCCCCGTTCTCCCCGTGCGCGTTTTGGCTTGCGTCTGTCGCCTTCTTGGGGCCCGTGGTGTCCCCGGCGGGTCTTCGGGTTGCTCCGGCGCCGCTTGCGGCTCTTCGTGCTTGGCCCGGCCCCCTCCGTTCCTGCGCTTCGGCGCTTCGTCGGCCTCGCCGGCTCTTCCCGCCGCTTTGTTGCGGGCTTTTCTCCTCTTGCCGCCCCGTTGCCTCGCTTGCCTCGTGTTGCTGTTCCCTTTGTTTGGTCCGCGGCGTGTGCGGCGCGCTTTTTGCGGCTCCCGCGTTCTTGCCCCCGCTCCTCTCTTGCCTCTTCCCGTTGCGGGTGCGGGCTTCCCCGTTTCTTGTGCCGCCTCCGGCGTTGGTTTGGGTTGTGTCTTGCTGCCGCCGGGCCGGGTTCTTGCTTCTGCCTCGCGGCCGCTTCCGCTCCTGCGCGCCCCTCCCCCCTCCTGCCTTGGCGTTGGCGGCGGTCGTTTTCGCGCTTCCGCTTTGGCGGCCCTCCTTGTCTGGCGTTCGCTGTGCGCTCTCTCCCGCTCCTCGGCGTCTTCCGTCCCTCCTGCGCCCGCGGGCCCTTCCTTCGCGGCCGCGTCGTTGGCTTGCGCTCCTGCCGGCCTCCGCCCTCTCTCTTCTCTCTCCTCCGGGCCCGGCGCCTGTGGTCGCGGCCGCCTTGCGCCGGCCGGCCGTGCGTCTGGGTCGTCTCGCCTTCTTCTCTGTTGCGGCGCGCCCCTTCGCTTTGGCCCTTCCGTCCTTCGCTCCTCGCCTGGTTCGGTTGGCTCTCTCCGCTTCTCGCCGCGTCTTGGCCTTTCTGGGCGTTCCGTCTTCTTTGCTTGCTCGGCTCCGTGGTTGCCCGTTTGCGGCTGCTCCTTGGTGGCCCTTCGCGCTCGCGTGTTCGCGGGTGCTGGTGGTCCGGCTCCCTTCGCTCCTGCTGGCGTGTTGCCCTTTGCCGGCCGCCTCTGTGTTCCGCGCGTTGGCGCTTTGCTCCCGTTGCTCCTTTCTGCGGCCCCTGCGTCTCGCTCCTCTCTCCCTCCGGGCCCCGCGCCGCTGTCTCGTGCTTTGCGGCCGCCTTCCTGGTGGCGTGGCCTGCGGCGCGCTCTTGTTGCCTTTGTTTCCCGTTGCTTGTGCTGCCCGCCGGTCCCGGCCGCGCCTTTGCGGCCTGGTGGCGCGTTCCCGCGCTTCCCCTTCCGCGTGGCCGTGGGCGCGTCTCCCTCTGGCTTCGTTGTGGGGTTGCCTCGGCCTTCTCGCGGTGTTGCCCGCCTTTGGGTCCTCGTGGCTCGCTTGCCCCCGTCCGCCCCTTCCTTCCTGTTCCTCCTCCTTCCGTGCTGCGCGGTTGGCTCGTCTCTCTCTTCGGGCGGTCGTTCGTCTTCCTGGTGTGCCTGTTTCTCTCCTTTCCGCTCGGGGTTCCCCGTTCCCTTCCCGCTTTTGGCGGGCTTTTCCGGCGGCGTTGGGCCCCGTGTCCCCCTTCGCCCCCCTTTCCCCCCCGCCGGCTGGTCCGTCCGCGCGTCCTCTTCCGGTCCTTGCGGCTCTGTTGCGGGCCTGTGTTCTGGCTTTTGGCGGTCCGTGGGCCCCGTTCTTGCCTTTGGCGGCGTTTGCGTCCCCCCCGCTCCCCTCTCGTCTTCCGCTGGCCCCGTTTGCGGCCTTCTCTGGTCGGCGTTGTCGCTCTCCCGTTGGTTGGTTTGCGTCTCCCGCGCCTCGGCCGCGTGGTCCCGCTTTGCTTCCGGCGGCCCTGGCTCCGGTGCGGGTGCTTCCGGCTCGGCTCCGGCCGGCTCCGCGTCGGCCCCCGCGTTCTGCGGCTCCGCGGCGTCGCCCTTTGCGCTTCTCTGTTGGTGCCGGGTCTTCCTCCGTGTGTCGCCCCTGCCGGGCGTGCTGCGGTTTGGGCGGCGGGGCCCGCTTCGCCCCCGGTCCTTGGGCCTTTTGCGCTCCTCCGGCCCGTTGGGGCGGTTGCTTCTGCGTTGGCCCTCCCTCCCGTCTTTTCCGCCCTCCCCCCGTGTTTCCTGTTTCGCTGCTGCGGCGGTCTGTTCCTGCTGCTCCCTGTGCTCCCGTCTGCTGCCGTCGCGTTGGCTGCTCGTTTGCCCTTTGTCGCGGCGCCCGTTGCCCTTCTCGCCCGCGCTGTGCGGCCTTGCGCTCGCGCGCCCTTCCTGTTGTTCCGGTCCGTTGGCGGCCTCGTCCCGTCGCGGCGGCTCCCTGGGCGCCCGCGCCGGCGCTGCGCGCGCCGTTTCCCGCTTGTTTGCGCTTCCGGTCCTTCTTGCTCCTTTCTTTCGCGGCCGCCCGTCCTTTTTCGTCGTGGCTCTTGTCCTGCCCCTCTTGGTCCTTTCTGTGTCTTGCCTTCTGTGTGTCGTTTCGCGCGTTCCTCTCGCGCCCCCCGTCCTTTCTGCCTTGCTGGGCCTGCCCGTTCGGTCCCCTGGTCGTTCGTTTGGTCTTGGTGCGCGTTTTTGTGTTTTGGCGCTTCTGCCCCTTGCCCGCTCCTTTTCGCTCCCCGTTCCCGCCGCTGCCCTCGGCCTCCCCTTCTGCCGCTTTCCTCCGCTCCGGCCGGGTCCTTTTCGGCTCGTCGCCTGGTCGCCCTGCCTCCCGCGGTTTTCCGTGTGCGTCGGTGCGCTTCGGCGTTTTCCCTTTCCGTTTCCGCCTCCGTTTGCCTTTGGTCCCCCTTTGCGTCCCGCGCTCGGCTGCGCCTTCGTCCGCGTGGTTCGCTCCGGCCTGTCGCGTTTGGTCTCGCTTGCCCTTCTTTTGTGTCTGGCGGTTTTCGCTCTCTTCCGCGCCCTTTTGTGGGTTTTGCCTTCCCTGGCTTTTGGCCGTGGGCCCCCTTTTTCTCGCCCTGCCCTCTGCTGGCCTTTCGCCTGGCCGTTGCGTCTGGCCTCTCGCCTTTGGTCTGGTTGCCTCTCTCGTTTGCGTGCCCGGGGTTCCGCCCGCGCTCGGCGCCCCCCGTCGGCGTTTTCCGTTTTGGCCCTTGCCGCTTTCTGCCCTCCTTGCCGCCCTCCGCCCCTTTCCCCCTTCCCCCCTCCTCTCTCTCTCCTCTCTCCCCGCTTTGGGTGCTCCCCCGGCTCCGTTGTGCGCTTTTTCGCGGCCCCCGTGTTGGTGCGCTCGGCTCGTGCTTTGGCGTCCCCGTTTGCGGTCCTTTTCGCCCCCCCTGCTGCCCGCCCCTTTTTGTGCGCTTGCTTTTGGCCTTTTTGCGCCTTGTTTTCTTCGCCCTTTTCGCTCCGCTTTTGGTGCTTTTTGCGGCTCTCTTGCGTGGTTTTTCGCGGCGCCCCTTGTGGTGTTGTTCGCTTTTCCTGTCGCTCGCCCTTTTTGGTCCTCCGCTGCCTTCGCTGCTGTCCCCTTTCTCTTTTTGCGCCCCTTGGGTTTTCGTTGCTTGTTGCTCTTGTGTTGTTCCCGCGCCCCGCCTTGTGTCCCCTTTTGGGCCCTGCGCTGGGGCCCTGGTTCGGCCCCCTTTTGGGGTTCCTTTCGCCTTTCCTGTGCGGGTCCCCCGCTTTCCGTTTTGCCTCCCCCTTGCCCCGTCTCCGTTTGTTGTGCTTTTGGTGTCTCCCCGCCCGTCTTCCGTTGTGCTCCTCTTTTTGCTCGCGGGGCCGCGTTTCGCGGCCGTTCCCCGGGCCGCTCCGGCCGTGCTTTTGGCGCGCGTGTGCTGGCCTCCCGGTCGGCTCCGGTTTTCCTCTCTTCGCTTGCGCTCGCGCCTGTGCCTGCCTGTTGCTTCGTTGGGCTTTGGGTTGGGTCGTTCTTGCCTCTTGCCTCGGTGTTCCGCCCTCCTGTTTTCGGCCTCTTTCGGGCCTTCTCGGGTCCCTGTGCGCCTGCTTTGTGTTCTTCCCGGCCCCTCCTCGCTCTGTGGCGGCTTGCCTGCTTCCTTCTTGTTTCTTTGCCGCCTGTTGGGCCTTCGTTTCGGTTTGCCTCGGGCTTGCCTTCGCCCTCCCTTCTTCGGCTCCCCTCGGCCTTCGTTTTGCCCCGCCGTCGCTCGGCCGCCTTCGCTCCCTGTCGCCTGGTGTCGCCGCCTTGCGTCTGCTCGTTTGGGCCTTCGTTCGGCCTCCGCTTGCTCCGCCTTTCGTTCTCCTTCTTTTCCCCGCTGTTCCGGCTTCCCGCGTTCCTCGGCGCCCCTCGTTCTCCTTCGCGGTTTGCCTTTGCTTTTCGCTTTGGTTCCCCGGCCTTCCCTTGCTTGGCTCGTTGGCCGGCGTTCCCTGGCCCTTCTGCGTCTGGCTCGCTTGGCCTCTTTCCGCCGCTCCCTTGGCCCTTTCTCGCGCCTCCGGTTTCCGGTCCGGCCTCTCTTGCCCCGCTCCTTCTCTCGCGCCTCCGGTTTCCGGTCCGGCCTCTCTTTCCCCGCTCCTTCTCTCGCGCCTCCGGTTCGCGTTCCGGCCTCCTCTCCTTGCTCTTTGTGCTTGCTTCCTTGGCTCTTTCTTGTGCGCCTCCGGTTCGCGGTCCGGCCTCCGTCCTGTCCGCTTCTCCTCCTTCGGGTTGCGGTTCTGGTTTGCTGTTCTTCGTTCTTGGGTTCTTTTCTGCCCTTCTCTTTCGTTCTCGTTCTTCTGTGTCCTCGTCGGGCTTCTGGGGGTCCGTTCGGGTTTTTCTTTCCTTGCGCCCGCGTGTCCCTTCTGGGCTTCTGGGGGTCCCGTTCGGTGTCGTTCGCTTCTCGCTTCCTTTCGTTCGTTCTTTTCCCCTCGTGTGCCTTCCCTTGTTCTTCGCTTTCCGTTCTTGCCCTCGGTTTGTTTCTTCCTTCTTTTCCTCTTGCCTTTCCTTTTCCCGTTCCGTCGGCCTCTGCTGCCTCCTGGGTCCCTGTTGTTTTGGTCCTCCTGCTCCGCTCTGCCTCTCTTTCGTGCTGCCGGTCCGGGCCCTCGTCGCCCGCGTTGCTCGCGCTTGGCGCCGCCTGCTCGGCGCCGGGCGTGCGCCCCCGCCGTTTTGTCCTCTTTCCGTCTCCCTCTGTCTCTCTCGCCTTGTCTTTTCCCTTTCGCGCCCGTCCCGTCTCTGTTGTCCCTTTTGGGCCTTGTCCTCCTTTTGTTCGTCGCTCTGTCCTCGTGCCTTCCCGGTTCTGGGCGGGCTCTTTCTTTGTCTCTCTGTTTTTGGTTTGCTTCCGCCTGTTTCTCTTGTTCTTTGCCTCCTCTTGTTTCGTTTCTCCCCTCCGCCCCCTTCCTTGTTGTTCCGGGTTCCGGGTTGGCTTCCCTCCTGGTGGGTTCTCGTCGGTGCCCTCCTGCCTTGCGCCCTCGGGTCGTGCCCCGTTGGTCTCCGCGCCCCCGGTTTCTCGGTCTCCCTTGTCCCGCGCTCCCGTCTCGTCGCGTCCTGCGGCTCGGTGCGGCGCCGTCCGTCCTTCTCTTCGGGCGGCTCCCGGCTGTCTTCGGCCCTTTCCTCTTTTGTTTCGCTTTCGTGCCTCGTGTGTCTTCTTGGTTTCTGGCCTCTCCCTTGTTTCCCTCTTTCGCCGGCTGGCTCGCTCGCGCGGTGGCCGGCCCGGGGTGGCGCCCCCGGGTCTGCCGGCCGCGCCTCCGTTTGGGGTCGCCGCCGCCCCGCGGTCGCGGCCGGGCCGTCGCCCCCGCCCGCGCTCGGGCGGCGGCGCCTCCGGCCGCCTCTGTCCCTCCCCCGCCGGTGGGCCGGGGCCCCCCCGCCCCCCCTGCCCCCGCTGCCGCTGCCGCTCCTGCTCTTCCTGCTCTCTGCCTCCGCTCCTCGCCGCTCTTGGGGCGCTGCGCCCGGCCCCCCCCGCCCCCGCCGCCCCCGCCCCCGCTCCCGCGCCGCCGGGTCCGCCTGCCGCCGCGGCCCCCGCGGTTCCGCCGCCCCCGTTCCTGTGCGTCGTGTCCGCCTTCCGGCCGGGGCGCTGCCCCTGCGCCGCCGCCGCTGCTCGGGGTCTTCCCGCGGTTGGCCCCGCCGCTTTCTCCGGGGCGCTGGGGGCGGCTGCCTCCGCGTTCCCGCTCCCTTGTCCGGCGCCGCTCCGTCCTTCGGCCTCTTGGCGTCGCGCGGCGCCGCCTTCCCTGCTCCTCCGTTTCGTGGGCCGCCCGGCGTGGTGGCGCTCGTCTCGCGCGTCCCGGCCCGTTGGCTCGCCTCCTGTCTCTTGGCGTGCGTTCTCCGCGGCTTTCTTCGCTCGGTTCCTGCCCCGGCGCGTCCGGGCTCGGCTTCGTGCTCCGTTCTCCCGCTTGGCGCCGGGCCCTCTGCCCGTCTCCCGTCCGCGCCGCGCTTCCTGCGTTGTCTCGCCCTGCTCCCCTGCTCCTCCCCCGGCGGCGGCGCGCGTTCGTTGTTTTGTCCGTGGGTTGCGGTCCCGTCTGCGGGTCGCCCGCGCTTTCGTTTCTGCCGGCCGTTCCTTTCTTGCTGTCGTTGCCCCTGCCCGCTCCCTGGCGCCTCTTCCTCGCGCGGCCCCGGGGGCCGCGCTCCGCGGGCCCGCTCCCGGGCCGCTCCGCGGGTCCCCGCCTCGCGGGCGCGCCTCCTCTGCTCGGCCCCCCGCGGTTCCCGCCGGGTCCGTCCGTCGTCCTGTTCCGGCGGCCTTCCTGCTTCTGCGGGCGGCCCGTCTCCCCGGGTGGTCCTCGTCGGCCCGCGTTCGCGGGGTCCGCTTCCCTCCCTTCCTCCCGCCGTCGGGTTCCTTCCGGGCGTTCCGCTTCCGGGTGTTTTGCTTGCGGTGCTCCTCCCTTGGTCCCGCGCGTGCCCCCGGCGCGGGCGCGGCGCGCTTGTCCCGCTCCCCTTGCCCCTCGCCCCGTTTCCGCCGTGCCCCCTCTCGCTCGCGGTGGTGGTCCGGCCCCGGGTCGTCGGGCCCGCCGCCCGGGTCCCGCGGCGGCGCTCGCGGCGGCCGCTCGGTGGTCGCTCCGCTGCCTCGGGCCGCGGTGCTCCGGGCCTTTCTCCGCCGCCCCGGCGCGGGCGCCGCCTGCGGCCTCTGCCGCTGTTCTCCCCGGTCCGCTTTTCTTCTGC